GCCCAGTGCAATACACTGTCTGATGTCTCGACTGTTGCTTCCATTGGTGTTGATTGTAGAACCAAGCAATATGAAGTCTTCGACAACTTCAATCTTTTCTCCATTTATTGTGATGTTGCTTATTGGTCCAGTTGTAAGGATTTTTGTTTTCTTTATATTGAAGTGTAATCTATACTGCAGACTGTAGTCTTCAATCTTCATCAGTAAGTGCTGGTAAATATTTAGCACTAAATAAGTGGTAGCTAGAATAGTATTTACTATTTTGAGATTCTCCCACCGCAGCAACAATAACTGGGGGGGGGGGATAGGGCAGGAGGGGAGCAGAACAAGAGAAAATTATGTATGAGTCACTCAAAGAAAAGATAGTAAGGTAGTATTTAATGGGAAAGGCACACAGTTGCTGAGATCATTGCCAATAAATACAGTTTTCTCCATAATAAACTTAATGTTAATATATCACATGATAAATAGAAATAGATCATAAGGTCAAGAGTCAAGTGCCTATTTATCTCTGACCTTTACTACTTATTCTGGGAAACTGGTGTAGTTAAATTCTGACTTTAGAGCTCTGTACTTAGTCTAAAGCATGCCTGATTAGGTATATCTCACCCAGATAATTTTCCTGGAAGTCTGGTCTCAATCTGAGTCACCACTAGTTTGTCCATCAGATATAGAGTTGTGAACTCAAAAGACTCCAAAATGTAGAGTATTTTTTAAGAATAACTTGTCCATTTGGTTTCTTTGGACTGGAGACACATAAAGATCAGCTTTGTTCAAGTAAACTGCTTTTTAAACTAACACTTATGTATGCTTGGTTTCATAATGAGTGCATTGTCTTCTTTATTCCTCACAATAACTCTTTGTAGTAGCTACTGTTTTTACCTTCATTTTATTAATCAAAGAACTAAGGTGCAGATTGTAAAACTTTCCTGATACCACATAGCTAGGAAGGAGTGGTACAGCACTAATTTGAATCCAGGGCATTCTGATTCCAGGGACTATCTTATCTTCTAACGTTAAAAAGCTAAAATACTTTTATGTTGGATAGAAAGCTTTAAAGGGGCTTAAAGAATGTTTAAAGGAATATAATTGTAAATTTTATATTAAATTATAATTTAAGCATAGGTTTTACTAATCCTATAATAATAGATCTGGGTAGAGGGGAGATAGAAATTTTGAAGGACTACAAAAAGAATATTGAAATTAAAAAAAAGAAAAAGTTTATATAGGCTCAAATTATGTAGACTATGAACTAAATTATGTAGAAATTCATTATTTAAAAAAGCAGAAATATGTCACTGAATAGATTTATTTATTTATATATGACAACAATTTTTTTTCTTAATATTTTTCTGTGTTTTCCATACTTTCTACCAGGAATATGTAATTCTTTTTTAAAAAAGTAATTTTGAAATAAATAATACTGACAAATACTATTAACATTTTACATAATGCTAAGAAAAGCTATAGGGTTTATTGTTCCAAGAGGTTATATATTGAAAAAATTAAATTTTATATATATGTACATATGTATGTGGGAGCTCTGGTAGCATAGTGGCTAAGGCACTTGACTGCTAACCAGAAGGTTGGCGGTTCAAACCCACCAGCCACTCCTCGGAAGGAAGGTTGGGCAATCCTACTTCCGTAGTGATACTGCCTCGGAAACCCAAGGAGGGGTCGCTATGAGTCGGGGCCAACTCGATGGCAAATAACAACAACGATTGACTTATTTCACTCAGCATAATGTCCTCCAAGTTTATCCACATTATGTGCTGTTTTGCAGTTTTTAGGGTTGCATAGTATTCCATTATATGTGTGTACCACAGTTTGTTTATCCATTCCTCAGATGATAGGCACTTAGGTTGTTTTCATCTCTTTGCTATTGTGAATAGTGCTGCAATGAACATGGGTGTGCAGATATCTATTCATGTCTTGTCTCTCACTTTTTTAGGATATATACGTAGTAATGGGATCACTGGATCAAATGGTATTTCTATTTCCAACTTTTTAAGGAATCACAATACTGATTTCCAAAGTGGTTGTATCATTTTACAGTCCCACCAGCATTTATGAGAGTCCCAATCTCTCCACTTCCTTGCCAGCATTTGTCATTTCTGTCTTGTTAAACTTTGCTATTAATACTGGGGTGAGATGGTATCTCATGGCTGTTTTGATTTCCTTCTCTCCAATGGCTAATGATCACAAACATTTCTTCATGTGTTTGTTGGCTGGCTGAATATCCTCTTTGGTTACATGTCTGTTCATGTCTTCCACCAATTTTTCAATTAGATTGTTTGTCTTTTTGATATTGAGGCATTGGAGTTTTCTATGAATTTTAGAGGTAAGTCCTTGTCTGATATATCATTGCCAAATATTTTTTTCCCATTTTGTAGGTTCTCTCTTTACTCTTTTGGAGAAGTCTTTGATGCACATAAGAATTTAATTTTTAGAAGATCCCAATCATCTGGTTTATTTTTTGTTGTTTGTGCATCTGGATTATGCTTGATAGTCTGTTTAGTCATAAATTAGGGCCCCTAAGTTTGCCCTATTTTTTTCTTTGATGATATAAATGGATTTTTTACTAAGAATTATATTAACTCAATTGATAATAATCATCTATACACACACACACACACACACACACACTATATCTAGATCAATAAGAAATATGTATCTATATTACAGTAGCTACTATGAGGAGCTCTGGTAGCATAGTGCCTAAGGCACTTGACTGCTAACCAGAAGGGTAGCGGTTCAAACCCACCAGCCACTCCTCAGAAGGAAGGTTGAGCAATCTACTTCTGTAGTGATACTGCCTCAGAAACCCAAGGAGGGGTCGCTATGAGTCGAGTCTGACTTGGGGGCACATAACAACAACAACAACCACCATCTTGGTGATTCTTTCCCCTAAATACTCATCAAATTGGAATTATAATACAAAGCTCCAATTTTAAGGAGCTCTGGTAGCGTAATGCCTAAGGTACTTGACTGCTAACCTGAAGGCTGGCAGTTCAAACCCACCAGCCACTCCTCAGAAAGAAGGTTGGGCAATCTACTTCTATAGTGATGTTGCCTCAGAAACCCAAGGAGGGGTTGCTATGAGTCGGGTCCGACTCCACGGCACATAACAACAACAACAACAACAACTATGAACAAAGTACTGTTAGATTATGTGAAAGCTACAAAATATTAAATATTATCTCTGCCTCTAAGAGTTTCCAAAACAAAACTGGAGACTAAAACATATACTCCCCAAATACCTTATAAAATAAGAACTCATTGCCAAACTCAAACTCATTGCCACTGAGTTGATTCTGACTCATAGCGACCCCCTAGGGTTTCCAAGGCTGTAAATATTTACAGAAACAAATTGCCTCATCTTTCTCCCATGGAGCAGCTGGTGGCTTCAAACTACCACCCTTGTGGTTAGCAGCCAGATATCCTAACCACAAGGGCATCAGAGCGCCCTATACAATAAGTAAGTAAATGCAAGATATTCAAGGATAGAACCTCAACCAGAATATCAGCCCCATAAAAGCAAGGACTTTGGTTCAACTTTATATCAGTATCACCTAAAATAGTGTTTGGCATATAATAAGTACTCAATAAATGTTTATTGAATGAATGGGTAAATGGGTGGATTCATGCATGCATGCATGCATGGATACATGATATGGTTAGTAAGTACTTGAAGATTTCAGTAAATACACACATGTAACTTTGGTCAGGTTAAAGTCATGAAGGAAAACAGATTTTTAAAAGTCACATGCTGGCAAAATGTCACCATCTGGGGTGGAGAAATGGTCTAGCCCCAAATGGCATTTATTATGCTTTCATGTGTGTGTTCAATCTCACTGACCTCCCCCATGCCCATTCTCAGAGATTCTGAGAGTTCTCAATAAGTAATATTTAATGAGGTAGACTAAAACAGCAATTCTAGAAATCACTTATGAGGCAAAACAAGTTCTCAGTCTGTACCTTTGCCAAGTGACCTTGAATTGGATTCTTAACTGAATTATGATTCATCGAGAAGCCTACTGCTGTTTAAAATAATAAAACTGTTTATTATTTAAGAAAAGTTCTAATTCCTTAAAGAAATCCATATTCAAACCACTATAAAATATATAAGGAACAAATGAAAAGTCTCATAGAAAATTGGCAACAGTTATGAATAAGATGTGCACAGAAAAAAAATACAAAGAAACAAGTAACAAAACAGAAAATGCAAAAACTCACTCATAATTTAGGAAATGCAAATCATAACCATGGGGACACCATTTTTAACCAAACACACTGGCAAAAATTTTAAATGTCCATAATAACCACATGCAGGGAAATAGACAATTGCATTAGCTATTGATGAGTGTTTTTTAAAAAAGAATATGCACCAAAACCTAGTTAAATTAAAAATGCATATACCATTTGACAAAACTTTTACACTGCTAGGAATTAGCTCTACAGATAAACTAACAAAAGTACGTCAAGGTTAGACATGGCAGCAGTGTCTATATTAGCAAAAACAAAACAAATCAAAATAACTCCCTACTTACAAACAACCAAAAATTTATCAGAAAGTTAAATAAATGATGGTACACACATATTATATGTGTGTGTACGTGTGTGTATACATACAGACAGACATATATATATAGAGAGAGAGATATATAAACACCAAAAAAAAAACCCAAACTCACTGCCATCAGGTTGATCCTGACTCACAGAGACCCCTCCTTGGGTTTCTGAGGAGGTAACTCAATGAAAGTAGAATACCTTATCTTCTGAGCAGTGGCTGGTGGGTTTTGAACCACCAGCCTTCTGGGTAGCAGTCAAATGAC